TTTTTTATTAGTGCACAAAATGAACCAGCCAGTGATGGCCAAGCGGACATGTCATAATTACCGGTAATTGACATGTTGAGTCCAGTGATCTGAACCTCCATGGCAGAGGCTCTGTCGAACCCCTGAGACTGATTCACCGAACCCCGAGGGTTCGATCGAACCCAGGTTAAGAACTACTGAATAACACTTATGTGAAGTCTGACTGAACACAGTAGCATGGTTTCTCTGTGTGTCAATAATAATGTTATATATAGTACATCATAGAACTCAGATTAAAAACAATAATCATCAAATGGTCATGAGTTACACCTCAGGGAACCCATTTTGCATGATATTCATTCATGTTAGCGTACATAAGGCACATATATATTCAATATTAACAATACTCATGACTACGTAACACTACTTACTTTACCAGCCGTGGCCATTTTCACAGTCGATGTTGTTTCCAGAAGGACGGGAGGAGCTGCGAGACAACAGCTGCAGCTGCTGGACAAACTTCACCCTCAATCTGGGATTTATACAAACACTTAAAACAATGGGTGGAGCCTCATGCTCTGAAATAAAGTGACCAACATGTGGTTTAGATCTCATTGGAACACGATTAACCCTCCTGTTACCTTCATATTTACTTGACCCCACGGATGCAGACAACTTGTCCAGAACAGTGAAAATAAATCAGCTTTTTCATTTTATGTTCACCCAGTTGCCCCCATTTAGATTGCGAACAGTCATCAAGGATAGCAAAGAAGCTATCTCCAGGTCATTCATTTAGTGACGTTAAACATTGAATGGGGTCAAATTGACTTCACAGATTAGGAAGGTTAATAGATACATATTCCCTCATGCTGCCGCCACTAAATCATTGTTTACAATCTGGCCATCACAGAAATAAGATTTCTGATTTAAATGGATTTCTCCCCACAAAGACAAAAGCAACAAAAGAAATGTGCGAAGCTTAGGCGTAGAAAAAAAAGTAGTGTGTTTCCGGTAACCCGACTGACCGAGAATTTCTTCGTCGAAAAAAAACTTTACGGTCGGCATTTTTTTCAAACAACCCTCTACATTTTTGTGTAGAGGCTTTACATCGGTGCAAACTCTCGCGATATTCATGTTGAGCGCGAGCGTCGTTTGCCCTGTCATCTGTCAACAACATTGAAACATGGCGGCGGCCGCGATCTCCGACGACAGTTTAAACCGCGTTTTCTGTGTTACAGTCGCGTGCTCGCACCGTAATGTTAAGAAAATAGCATCCATAGATCGGTGGGTGGCGCCGGCCGTGGAGCGGCGGGTTCAATGTCTTCTTGTTTTATGTTTTATGGTTATTTTGTTTAAATTTTTGATGGGGGCGGGGGAAAAAAAAAGATTAAAAAAAAAAACTTTGTCCGACCTACCGACCCTATGCTGAAATTTCATGTTACCGGAAACACACTATCTTTTTTGTTTGGCCTTATGTGCAAAAGTTTCCAATATGTCAACAAATAACTGCTTTTGCAACACATAAATAGATATGGTGTCTTTGGCAATGTTTGAAGAATAAAGAGCGTAAATGCTAGTTTTCAACCAAAGTCCCAAGACAGGTTTCTCAAATAGCACAGTGAGACACATAAAACTTTAAAACCACACTGACAGAAATAAGAACCAAATAGTTAAGATATAAATCAGACAATACAAACAGTTGCAGTACTCAATTAGAAGACAAAAGGACAGAAAATGATTCCAGTCGTTTTGTCTGTTTCTTAGCTGGAATTAAATTCATTAGTCACGTTTAAAAAAAAAAACGAGTCGTGGGCTCAGACTGGACTGTGCCTTTCTTTGCAGCCATGTTGTTTGTGAAAACATACACTGCTTACTGTCAGTGGAGACATGCTTCGAACATTAGAAAAGAATAACACACACAATAAAGTCAAATTAATTGTTCAAATCGATTCATCGGTTCACTGTGCTCATGAATACATTGCTGAGAATAAACTCAGTTTTTGATCGTCTGTCTTCCTGAGAACATGATCAATGATGAGATACAACCAAAACTGGGGTTCAAAATCAAAAAGACATGCCCATTGGATCATAAGCTCAACTTGTTAATGACACAACTAAACTGGTAGAAAGGGGAGGCGGGAACAAATGTTTAGACTCATTTGAACTGGATAAATTGGCAGCAAAGAAGATAGAGGCACCGGTGAAAAACTCAAGGCCCGGGGGCCAGATCTGGCCCACCACATTATTTTATGTGGCCAAATCAAGCATGTCAACTTCCATAATCATTTCTAAAATGTCTACCAACATTTTAAATGATCATATGTAATAAAAGATATAACCCCTCATGACAGTAACTTAAACTACAGTTGAATAAACCATTCTTCTTGACTTCTTAATATGGTTTCAGTCATAACGGCCCTCCCAAGGGAAACAGTCGCTACAACATGGCCCATGCCAAAAATGGGTTTGACACCCTTGCCCTAAGGCAATCATCAAGTTTAATAGCTAAAGAAAGTAAATCCTCAAGAGAGGAAGGCTCATCTGGAGTCAACAGCTCATCTTTCATTTCTTTTGACAAATTACCTGAAAACAGTGCAACTAAAGCTGTTTCATCCCACTGACATTTGACCACCAAAACCTGAATTCAAGAGAAAAAGTTACGACTGACTACGAGCTCTGCCTCAGTGACAAAAGGCAATTTTCAGCCTCCACTTCTCAGGGGCTGGTCAAAAACGGGAATTCCGTTGAAAAAGGATCAAACCAACTCTGAACAGGAGACCCTTTCTCCCGAAGAGCGGGACCACTGATCTGCGCTACCTTGTAATAAACCAAAGGCAATCTTGGCTGTATCAGAAGTGCAACTAAAGGGGTGCAAATCAAATATTACAATTAGTTAACAATTACAATTAAAGGGCCAGGTTACGTTTACTGCCACAGTTAACTGTAGGTATATCTATGATTGTATATCAGTGGCACGGTGGGCGACTGGTTAGGACATAGGGCTCACAGTGCAGCTCTGCAGAGTTCAATTCCGGCTCCGACCTTCCTGTGTGGAGTTTGCATGTTCTTCCCGTGCCTGTGTGGGTTTCCTCCCACATTCCAAAAAACATGCGTGGCAGGTTAACGGGACACTCTAATTGGTGTTCGTTTTGGTTACACGTACAATTAAGTTATATTTTAACACTCATTGAGACCCTTTTCCATTTGTAAGATATGTATTTATAAATAAATACAATACAATATATCTAAAATATTATAAGTTTTCGCCAGTTTTTCCGACAGATCCACTACAGATAGAGTAGTTCAACATGTTCATATTGTTAATCGTTAAAAACACATTTACATTAAACATCATGAGTTAATTGGACTGATTATTGATTTGCATTTTTGTATGCCCATGTTTACATACACTTATGTGAATTGCAGTATATTGATCATTTTCATGTAATTCGATTAACAATGGTTACGACACACTTTTTTTAAAATTCCGCCTTGGTTATATGTAAGCGATTGTCTCCCATGTTAAAACAGTCACCCTTGAGGTCCTATTTTCAACAAGTCATTGAGGATTTAAAATTTTAGACCGTATTATTAATTAAGACAACCAAGAGATCAATAAACTAATTACATGGTAGTTTGTGTAACACAGGACACGTCACGACTCTCAGAATCCCAGAACATCCGCAGCTGAGTGCAACTACGTAAGAACAGTCTGCACCTTGAAGAGCGACATGGAGGGAAAGAGAGGAACTTCACTTTCAGTCCACTAGATGGAGATAAACGACAATTTTACAGAGGTTCGTCTTGCTGAGGTTAAATTGAGCACCGTGTGTGAGTTTCATGTCTTTTTTAAGAGTGAGCTTTCAAGAAATAAAAACAAAAACGAATTTTACTGAATCAATGGCAAGGTTTTGGAAAGAGGATGTCTTTTTTTAAGAGTGAGCTTTCAAGAAATAAAAACCAATTTTACTGAATCAATGGCAAGGTTTTGGAAAGAGGGGTTGCGGGCATTTTGCCCACTTTCCAAGGCGTGCAACACAACTTTACGCTAATTTTGTTTGTGTAAAAGGGCACATGAGAACATGCAGAGGATGTTCAGGGTGATAGATACTGGTGTTGCATAACCATGCATCTAGAATTGTATGAATAGCATGTTAGTATTGTATGAATAGTTATTTGGGGAAGTCGAAGACAGTCGGGTCATACACGTCAATTTTCTTGATTTTCTTTGAAAATATAAATATTTGAAAATGAACACGTGTACAAAAGTATGCCTGAGAAGACACACCTTAGGGGTACTTAATTCACACAAGACTACAACTTTGTTTTTATACAACAAAATGTAAAATCTTAACAAGGGGCATCTTAACCCTAGGACTGAGAAAGAACGGTAACAGAATGCACATTCCTTCAAGAGCTGCTGCCGGCTTCAACTCACTCCAAGTTACTCCACACACACTGACAGGCAGGGTGGACAGGGTGTCCGGGCTCTCACTTTGAGATTGGCTGAGATGCTTGGTCATCCGGGAGGGTCTCAGAGTAGAGTCACTACTCTACATTGTCATACTGAGAGGTATTTCACTCATAACACAAATAGGTAAACGCCTCTCTGACTAGGGGGCGTGTGGTTAGGGGTGGCAGAACCTCACCAGTATATGAAGGTGGGTTAAATAAACAAATTTTGTTTCTCTGGTGTGTCCTTTAAATAGATTTTATTTTTTAATCCAAAAATCGCCATGATTTCAACGATAAAATTGCTTAATTTCCTTTTCAAATATGTAGATGAGATGGAAAGTTTGCCAGCGAGCAGCCAGCCTCACCTCAGATTGCAGAAATCCTTCCTTCAATTATATGCGGATTTTTGCTATTCGCGGGCCAGCCTGCTCCCTATCCCCCACAAATAGTGGGGTTCCTCTATTTGTGGAATGCAATCGCACCGCCAATCTGGACTCAGCTCTTAGATCCTGCTTAAGTGCACAACCATGGACAACAGCTGTCCTGCAATGACTCCCTCTTGTTGTAAATAAACATCCCATATTCTCAACTTGTTTGTTCTCTCTCATTTCTGCATTTGGGTAATCCCACAACCGAAACCCTGATGGCACAATCTGGTCAGACATGGACCAAGCATACATCAACCCCCGTTCACCAGACTGGCCAGACAAGGTTTGCTTTTGGACCAGAATGACCAAGCCCTAACTATGATGATGGGAAAGGCACGTAAATTCTCACAAGGCTTCAAAGGCAAATTGCTTCACGGGAAATACATGGACGGTCATTAGCTGTCCTGCATCCACAGCGTGCACTGATTGTCACCCCCATGTTGTTACAGAACAATTCGTACCTACATTTACCACGCCATATGTTGCCGCGTCAGGATGCTCATAGTGTAGCAGAATTTTCAATATCCTAAGCGGACTCTTGCAGCAGGGTCCTCAATGACAAGACACTCCAGGAAGTTTTTCGGGGGCTTTCGATGACTCCATGAAGGATGAGCCGACCAGTCTCGATTTGCTCATTGATCTAGCCATAAGGCTTGAAAGTTGCC